CTAGAGCTCAACCTGGCCTTCATTCTTGACTTTACATGAATTTCATTGTGCACCCAGCACCAATCTGCCGGCATATTCTCATCATCATCATCATCACGCATGCAGTGCCACCATCTGTTGGCAATTATGACTGCTGCGTTTCTCTGAGTTCCATTGCTGGCCTTCTTTCTGTCAAACGTAAGCTGTAGACTTACTGTCGCAACTCAGGCATCGGAGCTGCGGCCAAAGAAGGCATCCAATGATAGGTATGAAAATGTATGTGTTGATTCCGCAAGTTATGCCGTGCTTGGTAGTGCTATGTTGGCGCACGTTGGCCAGGGCTTGAAAGACGAACTGCTGTAGCAAGATGCCCCATGGAGTCAAATGGTGTTCGCAACCGTTATCTGTGGTTTTGTGTGACCACTACACAAGCATTTGGGTGATGGTAGTCAACATGAACGGCATGGAGCGCAGTCAGAAAATTGCATTGCGGCGGTGTTCTTAATGTTACTAGTAGTGCTGTCGTGGAATGGCATCATTGCCCCTCTTTTGTTGTCGGCGGCTGGGCCGATGCTCTTGTAGCTCGCTCTCTTCCGCGACCGAAAAACTTGACATCCAGACACGTAATTTCATGCCCCGAGGAATCAGTTTTGCACTGGTGGGGCTACGTACTGTAGACTGTCTGGGACCGTCGCGTCGTTGTTCAGGATCGTGGGGGAATGCTGTATCTGTTACTCTTGCTGCTTACAGCGGCAGCGGCGGCGTCATCACGGTATGGTTATCAGCTTGCCATTGTACAGCCATAGCTTGGCGCTGCTTTTGGACTCTAGTCCCCACCGCCAATATGCCGCTAGGCTAGTTGAAGACAACCCAAGCTGAACGCAGCCTCCCAAGCTCTTTCTCACAGCTTTCGCGAGACGATTCGAGGCATGGCCTTTTGATGCCTCACAATCCTGGACTGCTTTTTTTGCATTGTGTTGTGTGGTTGATGCGTTGGATCAGATCTGAGCTGTGCAGTTCTTGCGGAGTGTGCCGGTCTGGTGACAGCGACAATGGAAGTAAGTCCGAATTCCTAACCAGCCCAGACTACTGGGGCGTAGCTTGGACTGCTGGGAACGATCCCTGGACCAAAGGCGTAAAGCTACTGGGGCGACTATGAAATTGAATCCCAACTCCTTACCAGCCTGGACTATTGGGGCGTAGGTCGGACCACTGGGAACGATCCCTGAACCAATTGGGCAAAGCTAATGGGGCGACTATGACATTAGATTGGGAATTCCTCACCAGCCCGGACTAGCGGGGCGTAGCTTGGGCGTATGTCCTCCGACTATGGCTGGGATATGAATGCATTGGTAACGAGAGATATGGGATGCGCGTATGAACGTTGTTCTGGTTTTGAAGCTCGAACATGAACGTTCGTATGGCTTGGGCATGCGCTGCTAACTGCAGGCTTGAACCTGAACGATATTGCGGTTTGGGCATACAAAACATAGCTTACGCTCAAGCATGAACGTTATCATGGGTTAGGCAGGCATGCGTTGGTCATCGCTGGTAAACAACATGTCACGCTTGAGATCCCACCCCGAAGGCCTTACATCCAAGGTCCCCAGCCCTTTCAGCCATGTCTACTGTTTGTGCGTTGCACGAGGCTGGCCACCGCTATCGCTGCTAAGCCTTTTGGGACCTGCAGGGCCGCTGGTGTACCAGGCATCCTATCGTACATCTCTGCAGCACTTCGCACTTGGTTCTGTAGGGTTAGACTGACGTCGTATGGCAGTGAGTTTGGCTGTTTGTGGCATTCGGAATTGGAATAGTAGCACGAAACTGATGAACTGGATCTGAGGATACAGGCGCTGTTGTCATGTGAGACATCTTCGCCGAGTATTGCCTGGCATATCTATTCCAACAGCATCCCTCAACTGTCCAGGCTGCCACCAGCGGCATCACCCCCATCGAAGAAGCAGACCAGCATCGAGCCGTTTTGGAAGACATGTAGACACCAGTTGCGCCGTCATATTGTTGGGTTCACTATAGGCCTTGGAGCTCAGAAGAGCTGGTCAATTGACATCCTCTGAGTGACTGTACGTTCCGTTGGTGATGCGTAGACAAGATTTAACGGCTTCAAACAAGACATGAACGGTGTTGACAGCATTTCACCTAGCATGCATGTCCGACCCCAGCATTACAAGGCAGACTTTCTCCTGGTTCGGCGTGCGCATTCCGACCCTGGGCTCAGTACAAACAATATCCATGGCTCCGCCGCTTGGGGTCCGCGGCCACGATGTGGTCCATCTAAGCGGATAGGCAAGACCTCCAAGGCAATTACAGGAGCAATTACAGGAGGGGAGCTACCATGTAGGGGCCTTACATAAGCCTATACCCATTATATAATGTCTCATGGTCCCTATATACCCCTCATATACCCTTGATATATGTGCGCCCATTGGAAACTGCCCTCCTGTGATTGATCCTAAGTTTTGGCACTCTTCTTGATCCTTGTGTCCATTGACACTTTAGGTGTCCCCTGTTTCTGCCTGTGCCATGCTCTGCCTCTCTTTTCCCTATTTTAGTGCGTTCACCTTGTCTTCTTCTTGCATCCTATGCCTGTTTTGGATGGAACATGACGTGCGAGGCTTGCTGGCGGAATCAGTGCTGAGGACGCTTACAGCAAAGGCTCTGTAGTGCTGAGCTAGAGTTGGGCTGGAGGCAAAGGTCGAGGGACAAGATGAAGGTTGGGAGCCTAACTTGCAATGGTAGCCTTGGAACAGGTCTGCGGACCAAGACAGAGCGTGCCTTTCATGGGAAGCCTGGGAAACTGCGAACATTGCAGGGCAGATCGAGAATTACCATGCTACAAATCGGTCCTCACTGCAACAAGCCCCTAGCTTGGCAGATGCTCGATTCATGGATCCTCTGAGAAGTCTTGAGAATATTTCTAGGACTCTGTACGCGACCATTCCCCCACTTCCGGCTCAGGCGGCGACTGCATGCTGGAGCTTCGGAACCTAGGCTGCCATTTTTGTCAGAGCTATCGCACTTCGCACAGTGTCCTAGTTGGCAAAGTAGGTGGCTTTCCACAGCTGAAAGCCCCAAAGCTTAGATCCTGCATCAGACACAATGTTCAAGCCTCATGTGTATGATGGATGGAAGGTGCATGAAAAGGAACGCCTTTGCTTAGCTTGCACACACGAATTTCAGTGCTCGACATCAGGTATCGTACCAACCGTGGTGCAATCCTGTTTGCTAAGCTCACAAGTCGCATCCAAACAGCATGAAACTGCGATCTGCTGACAAGCTTGTACTTCTGGACCGCATCCCCTGTGCCTCTGCTGTGGCTGGTAATTCACCATAGCCGTTTAGAAGGCACCATGTTACAGGGTCTCTTTTCAAGACGCGTGGGTATATCATGGATATCATTGTACATGATTCTATTTTCTTTCCGTCAGTGGCCGTGCCCGATCAGGGTTTCTGCGACAGAAGTAGTTCTTTGGCGGGATCTTTGCTTGAAGGAGCCTGTTCGATCTTTGGAGGTTCGTATGGGCTTCAAATCTGGCATATGCCCAGTTGCTGAAGCAACATGGAGCTAGTATCTTGTGTGGTTTCACTGACTTCTTGTGTTTGAACATGTTCAAACGCCCTAGAATACAGGCAGTTCAATCCAACTGCCGCTGAGTCAGGAGCCGAGCGCTTGAGGAGGTGGGCCTTTGCAAGCACGGTCCGGATGCTGGGACTTGGAAGTGCACTTAGGAGCAACACCTCTTGATAAAGTACCAGCATCTGTCAGCCGTATGTGTGTCTAGGAGCGTGACCTCCAGCTGGCCAAAGTAGATTTGAATCTAGTTTTGGGAAGCTTAGAGAGAGGAAGGGACCTTGTCAAGCTAAGTGCGACTTGTGTGAGCATAGTCGGAGGGCATGCGGCAGCTGTCTTCAATGGCCGGATGAAAGAGTCAGCTTTGAAGACTGTGTCGCCTAAGAGTTAAGGTAATTCCGACAACTTCCCATGTTGTTGCATGCTGGAAGGACTTTCTACATTATCCATCCCCAGTGATACTGTGAGGAGCTTTGCCTGTCAGATTTACTTGCGATGCCTGACGATCTTGAATGCCCAGGGACCTTGAACGCAATAAAACCAGCCATCTAGGCAACCCGCTGCCAACTATAGCAAGATCTTGCCAATCAACGCTTTTAAGCTCAAAGGAGCGTCAGTGGCTTCTGCATGGTTCCAACTGCTGCTTGGAGCTGCAGCTATGAAGCTCCACAAGGTTTCAAAGCTCCACAAGGTTTCAAAGCTGTTGACCTTTGCATGGTGCAAGACGCAGATTTTCACCCGTGTCGATTCCTAAACTACCTCGAACTTGAAGCTGTAAACCAGCAGCCGACTTTCTGTTCAAGGCTAGCGTTGATTGATAGTTCTGGCGTAGCTGGGTGCAATTGAGTCTGAGTGCCAGCAGGCCTTGTCTGAATTGCGAAGCTCCTCCAATCTTCTGCACAGGACTAGGGGAGTGAACGCAATGCTTCAACCTCACCCCTGAGAAATTCCCAAGGTAAGCCCTTTCTCAGCTGCCCGCTCTGGGTCCCAGTGGCGCTCTTTCTGGTTGTGCCTTAGCTAAGCAGCACGAAGTGAAATGTCGTGCTCGGTGGGAGCTTGGGAGTCCGGGAATCCCAGCTTTTCAGCCATGTGCTCGGAGGCTGATCCGGCTGAGTAAGCGGATTGGCAATTCTTCCAAGGTTTGCGGTAGCTCACTCTAAGCAAGCGGAAGCCAGTGAATCTTGAGAAGCTGCCAGCTAGTACTCACGAACAACCTAGTCAGTGTCAGTGATGAAAAGAACCTGTTGCCACGATAGCTGCCATGCAGCGGCAATTAAGCGCAGGCCAGTTCACCTGCAACCAAGGGAGAGTTGGACTCGATGGGCAGACTTGAACCCCCAACATGGAATCGTAAACACATCATCTTCCTTCGCGTCTTGGCTACAGGACCGGGTCGCCTCCATGTCTTTGCTCATCTGGCTAGCTCAAGTCGATGGGAGGCCACGAAGGAGGCTGGATTCATGGCTCACAGGTTCCATTGTCAGATACTTTGGGTGGTGTAGTCTGATTTGCCAGGCACGTGGCTACGGGCCATAGCCGTTTCCAAACGGGGTTTGTCTCCACAGCGCTGGCAGGGGATACTCACATCCAAGGGGAACCAACTACGGAAACCTGACATGGCCCGCAGGTGGGGCTTTCTGAAGCCGGAATCTAAATTGAGCGCACAGCCTCACAAAGGATGAAAAGCGTTGCGGCTGCAAGCTTGCCGTGCACCATGCCAACGATTATCGACTTTGCTCGACTGCTCGCCGACAGAAGCTGCGGCACAGCTTTGCTTGAAGTTGCATTCAATTCTGCGACTTCTACCCTCCTCCTAGCTGGGCCTAGCTTGCAAGTGTTCAAGTTTAGGTTGTCCAGGGAGGGGTGAAGCAGACAGGCATCATCCAGGCAAAGCGTGGAACAGTCATGGAATACTTTGAGAGGGCTGCGGGCATGATGGTTGGAAGGCCGAGGCCTCATGGCAGCAGACATACAGTGATCTCAGGGATGTCAAAAGATCTCGCCAGAAGCATGGAACCTTGACAAGGTACTGACCAGCCAAGTTAGGCTTCCAAATCCTACCGACGCACAGGTCCAAAGTAAGGGAGCTGCAGCTAGGATTGCCTCAGCCATCTGTGTCACTTCAGACGAGGTGCCCCAGCACAGATAGCTCTAGGGTCTGACAAATCCAGAGCCCAGCATAATCCAGACCCATCATCATGATCTAGTTCGAATCATCTTCGGAAATCTACTAGCACTGCAACATCTGAGTTGGCCCTGGCTGGGTTTATTTTGGTTTGTTGGAATGCACAATAGTCGCCCAGTTCCCCCTCCCTGCCACCTTCAAGTAGCCAAGACACCCCAAAGCTATTTGGATTGCTTGTTTTGTGGGCATTACCCCCTTCAGTAAGTGCTAGCCGGAAAACAGATGCCCACCTGCATGCCTTGGGCAGCCTTTGATGCGAACAGGAGCACCTCGGACCATTTCAACTTCCACTCTCTCGACCGACGTGGTCGCGTTGGCCTTCAACCACCCTTCGAACCTGCGCAAACGGCACAGGCTGGGCTTTGCCATCTGGCAAGGAATTTATGCACAGCTAATCCCTCAGAACCCTCAGAACCCTCAGAACAACTACAGATCCACGCCCTAACATGTCTTCCATCGAGGCTGCATGCAAGCTTGTTGCAGTAGATGGCCCAGGATGAGCCAACCTTGCACAACATTTGGGACAGCATGTCCCAAGCATTTGCAGGAGACGGGCTCTCATGCTGTTGAAAGCTTGTTCAGGCTTTTTCTGTCGGTATGCCAGGGGCTTGCACAGAGCATCTGACTCTTTGCATTTGGGTAGTTAGAGTTGTCACTCTGCTGCTGGAGTTTGCAGTCATAGTGACTATATATGTATATGTACACATATAGTTGTACTACATATACACATGAATATATACTTTTCAAAATTGTCAGCCCCGGCCAATTTTGCCATGTTCTGGACGTCTGCATCATCTGCGACGGACTTTTTTGACGGGGACTGAGGAGACAATCTCCATGGCCTAGTCTGGCACTGGCTTTACCCTGAATACGCGGCTGCTGGGCAGAGTGGATCACGCTTAATTACTCGTGAAGTCGAGGAGGGTTTTGGTGCTACGGACTCCAGCAATCTTGATGTGCCGCTTCTGCCACTACCTACACTGGACCTACACATAGCTGCAAGTATGCAGAAGCCCCTTGTACTATTAGACTATTGCTCGAGATCATTCTTAAGTCAATCCTTTCGGCCGTTCGGGTGAGAGAAATGTAATTGGACCAGGCTGTGGGTGTCAGCCGCCAGCATGCACAGAACCTGACACGCCGGGCCCTTGCTTTCTACCACGGCATCTACGGCGAACTCGGGAAGCGGTTTGTGCTTCTTTGGCCTGACTCAAAGTGACCTCGAACAGTCTTGGTAGCAAGTGTCAGATGCCCTCAGCCTACCCCGCACTCCATCAGACACTTGTACCAAATTTCTAGCTAGTGGCCCGGTGGCCAGTGGTCAGCTCCCCCAACCTTTCCAGTGGGCAGCTCATAATCCCTCAGATGCGCTTTTCATCATATACGCCATACCGTTTCTCCTGTTCACCACACTACTGGTTGTTAGTCAGCGACCTCAAAGGGACTCGCGGCAATGCTTTGCAAGCTTGCCTGTGAACTGCTTTTGCGCTTGTCGATAGCTCTGAGTGTTCTTGTAGCTGCTCCGCTTCCTTCTGTAGCTTTGGTTCATCCAGGTTGCCGCGACATTTGTGCCTCACTTGCTGCCAGCTGGGTGCCGGGCGTCTCCGGATCATGGTGGTGCCTCGTGGGCGAATCATGCGTTTTCTACAGACCCACAAATTTCCTTCTATTTCAGCCTAGGTTGCTTGAACTTCTTGGAAAGCGTATGACTCCAGGAGCTTGATGGTTTGTGTGTCCAACTGCCTTTTTTCTCCGCCTTGTGGCTTCGTGGAACATGCCAAGCATTCTACCGGGTCTTGCGTTGCCTGCGCTGCCTGGAAAAGGCGCGAGGTGGGAGGTTTCCATCCACTCTGAACCACGCGGAGGCGGAGACCAACACGGCTCCTCAAATCTTTCCACACAAGGGTACATGGCCTCAAAGGCGACTCCTGACAGCCCTTGCTGACATCAAACAGCTTTCACTCCTGCTCAAATGCTTTCAGTGAAGTTCGCCTAGCCGAAGTGTATGTGAGGAAATGGCACTCGCAAAAGTTCCCCAAAATCAAGAAAGTTGAGGAAGCGTTACGAAAAGTATAAAGAAGTTATAGCTTGTGTTTTTCAGTTAGCAAAGTTAACTTGAAGTTCTGTATGGTGTGCGAACAGACTTCTTCCCGATTTCCCTTAGACTAGTTGGCATCACTAGGGCAGCGGCAAACACCCTGTTGAGGGTCATTTGAGCATGTATGGTGCGGTGTTTTTCACCAACGCATGTGAGGAAAAACAGGGCGAAGCCGGCTGTTTTGGATAGCAGATAGCAGGCATTAAGACATTTTCCAAGCAGAGCTACACCTGGCAAGTGACAGCTTCTGGGCAACTGAATACCAGTACTTACAGTTCCACAGCATTAAGCTCTCGCAGGGTTCTCAGCTAAATGCATCGCTGCAGGTGCGCAACCCTTTTGAGCGCCTGGTGTCCTTCTTTCGGCTGAAGTGGCTGCGAAGCCTGATGGCAATTTTTACAAGTACGGGATTGAAGCTGACTGAGCTTGCTGTTTTTTTTTCCCCACCCTCGCAGTGGGGTTGTTAGATTTTACAGTAGATGTTGTCCTCGCCCGACTGGAAACTGACTTTAGTGACCAACCACCAAGTATCCCTGCAGTGCCCAACCACCAAGCATCCCTGCAGTGCCCAACCGCAGAGTATCCCTGCAGTGCCCAACCACCAAGTATCCCTCCAGTGCCCAACC